TTTTTTTTTTTTTTTTTTTTTTTTTTTTTTTTTTTTTTTTTTTTTTTGGTTTTTTGGGGTTTTTTGGATTTGGCTTTCGGTATTTAGTTTTTCACTTTTTTACATTTTTTTGCTTTTCTTGTGTTGGTGGCGGTGCTGCTGCTGCTGCTGCTGCTGCTGCTGTTGCTGCTGCTGTTGCTGCTGCTGGTTGCGGTGATCGTTGTGGTGCCGCTCCTGCTGCTGCTGCTGCTGCTGCTGCTGTTATTAGTTGCGGTGGTGCTGCTGCTGCTGCTGGAGCCGATGCTGCTGCTGCTGGGGTTGGTGTTGGTGCGGGTGTTGCTGCTGGTGCTCATACTAAAGCTGCTGCTGCTGCTGCTGCTGCTGCTGTTGCTGCTGCTGCTGCTGCTGCTGCTGCTGCTGTTGTTGTTGCTGCTGCAGCTGATGGAAGATCCAAACGCTCCAGTCCCAGATAGTGTATTTGGGTGTACGGAGAGTTCTGATGCTGCTGCTGCTGCTGATGCTGCTGCTGCTGCTGCTGCTGGTGAAGGCAACCCATGCAGCCAGCTGCTGCCAGCAGCAGCAGCAGCAATGCGGGGGCCTCGTCGTTCTTGCTGCTCTTTATGTATCCCCCCAGATGATATAAACATCGAGTATGAATCAGGAAAAAGAGGAAAAACAGCAGCAGCAGCAGCAGCACCTGCTGCTGCTGCTGCTGCTGCTGCTGCTGCTGCTGCTGCTGAGGAATCATGGGCAAAGAGACTGCAGCAAGATGTCTCCTTTCAGAGACAGCTGATAGAACAGCGAGCAGCAGCTTCTTCTTTTCTTCCTTCTTTTGCGCATGCATGGATACAAAAAGTTCTTAATCTTATTGAAGTCTCATCGAAACCAGATGTAAGCAGGGTTTAGGGTTTAGGGTTTAGGGTTTAGGGTTTTGTGCGTATACACAGGAGAAGGGTGGTGGTTTGATGAGTCACGTAGACCGAGTTTATAATTTATAATTTATAATATATTCTGTATTATATAAACAACAAATAAAAAATTAGGGTTTAGGGTTTAGGGTTTAATGTCTAGGGTCTAGGGTTTAGGGTTTAGGGTTTAGGGTTTAGGGTTTAGGGTTTAGGGTTTGTATGTTCAGGAGAAGGGTGGTGGTTTGATGGGTCGTGTAGACCGGGGTACTCACCTGGCTCTGCGTGCAGCATCGCAGTGTATATGCAGCCAGCTGAGCGAGGAGACAGCAGAAAAAATAATAAATATATTTGTCTCCTTTTGTAGAACACCGCACACCGACGGTGTACGCTTAGCTGCTGTCTTGTCTTCTTCTTTGTCTGCTGCTGCACCGCAGCTGCTGCTGCCGCAGCTGCTGCACCTCACGCAGCAGCAACTCTTAGAAAACCCTCCCCCACACCCCCACCAGCAGCAGCAGCAGCAGCAGCAGCAGCAGCAGCAGCAGCAGCAGCAGCAGCAGCAGCAGCAGGAGGAGATGGTGTGTGTATATGGTGTCTCCTTTGAAAGGAGACAGTTGAAACCCTCGGTGTCTCCTTTTTTTGTTGATTGGTTTTTACGTTTACTTTGCGGCTGTGTTCGTGGCTGTGGTGCTGCAGCAGCAGCATATAAGCAGCAGCTGTTGTCTTTGGTGCATGCGCTGCTGCAGCAGCAACAGAAAAAAATATATAAACTAGGAGTAAAGCTGCTGCGTAGATGCATAGAGACCTGGGTTTCAGTGTATCCTTATGAGCTCTCTCACGTCAGGTGTATTGGCAGCTCCGAGTGGAAAAATATAAAAAGGAGACAAATATTTATATTTAGATGGGGGGCCCCCTTCTGGATAAAGAAAGGAGACGAAGATATATACTGGCACGTACCCTCGCAGCAGGAGCTAGCAGCAGCGCAGCAGTTTGCTGCTTATGCTCTTGCTGCTCTACGCTTCTTGCTGCTGCCTTTTCTTATCTCTCCTCCTCCCCTTGCTGCTGCTCTTCCTGCTGCTGCTGCTGCGGGGGGTGCTGCTGCTGCTGCTGCAGCAGGAGCAGCAGCAGCAGCAACACCGCTGCAGGGAGATGAAGTCGCAGCTGCTGCTGCTGTCTTTGCGCAGCAAGAAAGTACACAAGAGGAAACAGCAGCAGCAGCAGCAACAGCAGCAGCAGCAGCAACAGCAGCAACAGCAGCAACTGCACTTGGAGGCCTCGATGAGCTGCTTGCTCTGCCTGCGGATTTCTTGGGTCCCTTGACGGAGGAGGAGGAGTCTCCTGCTGCTGCTGCAGCAGCAGCAGCAGCAGCAGGAGCAGCAGGAGGAGCAGCAGCAGGAGCAGCAGCAGCACGAACAGCAGGAGAAGCAGCAGGAATAGAAGAGAGCAGCAGCAAGACACGAGCTCGTCTATGTAGAGCCTTTACTCTGTCTAGGCTGCTAGCCAAAGCAGCAGCAGCGCAGCAGACTGATGACAGAGCAAAGAGAGTCCCCATGTGGTGCGTAGTTACACCCTATGAACACATTCCTCCTGCTGCAGGCCCCATCGCCCCCACCACCACCAGCAGCAGCAC